GAGTGTTGGTCTCATGGGATTGGCTTCTATTTTCCCAGCTGTGCTCCCTAGAAAGCTAGGGAGCTCTGTGTTTCAGACTCACTGTGTATAGAACGGAGGCAGTTGTACCGCCGAGGTGGTTGGGGTCTTAGATTGTGAGAACCAGGTCTCTCACAGGCCCTGGCACACAGTGGTACTCACTGACGCAGGTGGAGTCAGCTGCACAAGGACCTACATGCCCTAGAGAAGGCATAGACTCCTGCTCCTCTTTGTCCCCCAGAGAAGGACTGTCCCTGATTGGACGTGCCCGAGGCCCAGGCCCTCACTGTCAGGCAGGAAACCAGCTGTCCTCGGTTTTCTTCTCCCGGAGCCTGGGTGGTGATCTGTTTGCTGGGGTCAGTTTCTGTCCGTCTCTCCACAGTGGGAAGCTGTTGCTCTGTGCTGGGCCTCGGCCACACTGAGCCTCCCATGCCCTTTCCCCAGGTGGGATCGTGCTCATCTCTGGAACAGGCTCCAACTGCAGGCTCATCAACCCCGATGGCTCTGAGAGCGGCTGCGGTGGCTGGGGCCACATGATGGGAGACGAGGGCTCAGGTGAGCTCGCACCGACAGGCCTGGCTCGGGTCTTAGGCCTGCTCTTCCTGCAGTGCGCCATCTTCCTTTCCCCTGCCCTTGCCTGCTGACCCCTTGGGCCTCTCTGGAGGCATCTCCTGAGCTGGACCCTTCTAGGGCAGGATGATGACTGGAAGAGCATGGAGAAGCAAGTGCCGTGCTAACCACTGACCTGGTCCCTCAGCAGAGATTTGCACCCAGGATTCAGATCCTGTCTCCACACAGTGGCTGTGGCCTACGTGTGCTGACTTCTGGAGTCCCCAGGGAGGGGCTGAAACTGAAGGCTGGAGCCATAATTGCCAGGAGAAGTGAGGCAGTTTGCTAGTGGGGAGGGGGTGTGGAGGTCCTCCCACCGTCACCTTTCTGTTGGTGGCCTATGCATGTTTTCATTGGGGCCCTTGGGCCCAGCACATGGCAGCGTCTCCAGTGGTGTTTGTGACAACTGACTGACCTTGTCTTATCTTTGGGTGGGAGCTGGAGTGACCCGGCCTCGTGTTCTTTTTCCCCCTTCTAGCTTTCCCTTTTCTGGGTCAGTCAGAGAAGTTCACAGTTTGATGAGAAGCCCCCAGGCTGGGAGTTAGGAAACTTCATTTGCTCTAACACCCAAGCCGATTCTTAACCCTGCCTAGCTCTGAGTTTCCTTCCTGGTAGCCCAGAGAGACTGCCCCATCTTCTTGGCCCTCTCTGCTCTCTGCAGCCTACTGGATTGCACACCAAGCAGTGAAAATAGTGTTTGACTCCATCGACAACCTCGAGGCGGCCCCTCATGACATTGGCTATGTCAAACAGGCCATGTTCAACTATTTCCAGGTACTCCCCCTACACCAGTGAACATACACACCTGGGGTAGGGCAGCAGGAGTGAGGACAGTGTGGGCCAGGGCGGGCCAGAGGGAAATCAGGCTAGGTCGTGGGTCAGAGCTACAGGGCGAGAAACAGTAGGTGAAGACAGGATTCAGAGTGGTGTAAGCAGCATGCTCCAGGAGGGTGTCAAGGGTGGCAGGTGTGAGTATGGGGACAGGTGATTGGCTAGACTGCATTCTTGGGCAGTGCACACCTGCTGGGTTGGTGTTCTAGGCTTGGATGAAAAGTGCAGGGTGACATCAGGAGGCAGACAGCAGGTGGACTTGGAACGGGTGTGTTGGGCGTGAGTTGCTTCTGGCCTGTGTGGGCCAGGAGACCCTATTAAGAGGTAGGCAGGTGAGTTTTGGGGGAGGTGCAGCCTTCTTGCCATGGCATTGGGGATCGACTCCTTGTCTGTACCATACCCATTCCTGATGGGTTAGAACTCAGCTGCCTTTAGCAGACCCTGCAGTAAAAGGTGGGAAGAGAGAGAGATGGAAGATATATTTTTCTAGTAGATTTCTCTTTGTGTAAGGCTAGTTAGTCTTTTTGTTCCACCACTTAGGTGAACTAGAGCCAGGCCAAGGAAAGAGATTAGACGGTGGAAAGGCATACCCATAATCTCAGGGCCAAAGGATTGGGGATTGGAGAGGAAGTTTGGCCTGGGCCAGGGTAAGGAATAGAGAGGGCGAGGAAGAGAAATCACTTCAGTAGCACTTGCTGCAGGAGATGGGACTAAGCTTTTGATGTTACAAAGATGAGACGAGATGGTATATAAAGTGCTTAGTACATTGCTGCAGGAGGTCAAATTTCAGCCCTCCTAGTCCATGGACTAAAATGCATTATGAAGAATCACTGGTTCCTGAGGACCTTGGCAGTATTAAGGGTGTGTGAGTTTGTTATGGTGGATCATATACATTTGAAGAAACGAACATTTCTTTGTCGCAGGACTTTTTTTTTTTTTTTTTTTTTTTTTTTTTGATTGGTTTTGTTATGGGCGCGTGCGCTCGCCAGACAGACAGAGAGAGACAGAGAGACAGAAAGCGACAAATCACCCCCCAGGGGGGATGGTCACACCGCAATCCCTTCTCCATTCTCCTCTTGGGATCTTGGGCATGCACGCACACCTGCCTGGCGTGAGTTTAAGCCGCTGAGTCCGGGACGTGAACTGCGGTCAACTATGTGGGAGTCCAGCGACATCGCCATTATGCTAACTGCTGGTCCCATTTGTCACAGGACTTCTCAGAGCCTTTAATTTGCTAATGTGCTTTGTGCCTTCAAGGAGAGTTGCAGTGTGTGATATTCCTTAGATTTATTTAGCCAAAGAAATATTTGAAGACCACCTTAAGGAACTACTAGACACACTTCAGTGAACACAGATGTGTGCTCAGTGCTACCTTCAAGTTAATCTGTAAGGAAGCAATAAAGTCCATGCTGGGGAAGACAGAGAGCTTTTCTCCAAGAGAAATTGCAATCCTTTCACTTTCCAGAGCTTAAACAGATAAAGCAAACCAAACCAAACCAAACCAAAACCAAAACAAAAACTGTACCACCTTTTCACGTAGTAGAGCCAGCTCCAGTGGATGGATTAGGGGTTTTCCTTTGCTTCTGATGACTGTCCTGCACCTTTTCTTCACCTCTCAGGTGCCAGATCGGCTAGGAATTCTCACTCACCTCTACAGGGACTTTGACAAATGCAGGTTTGCTGGATTTTGCCGGAAAATTGCAGAAGGTACTGGAGGTGGGGCAGGAATTTTTCTGGCTCGTTCTCTCAAAAGACATCCATAATTGGGGGTGGAGTGGTTTTCAGATGGGGCCAGGGAGCCATTTTCCCTCTTATCAAGGGAACCTCAGTTCCCTGTCACCACAGGCCGTGGGGGTGGCCTTGGGAAGAAGGCAGAGGGCATGCAGCTGTGTTGCTGATGTCTTGTGATACCTGGGTTTCTCTCCTTGGCAGCTAATCCTGGCTTCTACAGGCCGTACACCTGTTTCTGAGAAGTGTATCCAACAGTGTGCCCTTTGAACAGATCTTTTTTTTTTTTTTTTGAGGCACATACTTTTTTTTTCCTAAAGAATTAATTAATTAATCATTTCAGATTTCACCAGAGAGAGAGAGAGAGAGGAAGGGAAAGTGAGAAAGCAAGTAACTATAGTGGTCAGGGACTCAAACCATAGTTGGCCATGTGGGAGTCCAGCACCTTAACCACCACACCACCTCCCGGCCCCTTGACTTTTTTTTTTTTTAACCAGTGAACTAGGGGGCTGTGAAGTCAGGTGCATTTTGTTGGGTGTCAGGAGAAGCTTCACACAGAGCTGATGTGAGGTCCATACTCCCTTCACATGGATCCTGCAGCCTCGGGACTCTGGGGCTGTCTTAGATCCCACTGGACTTAGGACCCTCCAAACATATCCAAGAAGGGGCTGATCAGCCGCGGACGCCTGGAGGTGGGTCAGGTGCTCAGACAGGAGTATCAGCTGGCAGCTCAGCCTGAGTCCTGGGTCCCCAAAGCTGGGAGACCAGTAGGGACAGACTCACAGGAACTCAGTGTAAGCTGGAGCACAGACCAGCTGCCAGCATGCTCTAGAGGGTGCTGCCTTCCCAGAGGCGCATGAGCTGTCATCACACACCGAGAGGGAGAGGCCCAGCCAGGGCCCACCTGGCCACGCACCGTGAGTGCGGCCATCTGATCGACCCTTCGCTAGAACAGGTGCTCCTGTGGTTGCTGCCTCACGCAGCTCCCTGGGTGTTCACTAGCCCCTTTTCCGCCTCCTGTCCCCAGGTGCTCAGCAAGGAGACCCCCTTTCCCGCTACATCTTCAGGAAGGCTGGGGAGATGCTGGGCAGACATGTGGTGGCCGTGCTGCCTGAGATCGACCCGGTGAGTTGAGGTGGGATTTGCGGTGGGGGCTGGCAGACTTGGCCCTTTCCCATGGGGTGGGGCTGTCATCGACCCCTGTGTGTGTAGGACACGATTTTAAATGAAAAACGTCCTGCAGAGTGTCTGTAATGCAAACAAATTCTCTGGTCAAGCAGCTCCCCTCTGGGACCTGTCCCTAATCTGTATTTCTGTATGGTATATTGGTCTGACGGATACGTCCCTTCCTTCCAGTCATGTCCCTCCTTTCCCTTCCTTCTCTTCCTTCTGCCTCTGTTTCAGCTTAACCCTCTTTCTTTCTGCTTCCCTCCCTTGCCTTGTGAGTTGCTCCTGTTTTCTTCTTTTTTTTCCCCTTTCTTTCTGTACATCTACCTTCTCCTGTTTTGGGGCTTGAGGGATAGTACCTGGGATAAGATGGATTGGTCTTAGGAATCAACCCCCTGTAGCCCTGGAGAGGCTAGTTTGTGCACAGCGTCCATTTTCTGCTCTCCATCCAGGTCTTGTTCCAGGGGGAGATTGGCCTCCCCATCGTGTGTGTGGGCTCCGTGTGGAAGAGCTGGGAGCTGCTGAAGGAAGGTGAGTTTAGGGGGCACAGGAGGGGAAGAGAGGGCAGAAGATGGGGCTGGAAAAGAAGCGGCCCCAGAAAGCTTCCTGCTGCAGGGAGGACTTGGGCCCTGAGGCCTGGACAGGCCACCAGCCCAAGGCCACGGCCCTCTCCTAACTGGAACTGAGCCCTTTATAATGTGCCACCCAGAGTCCTGAACTCTTGAAAAGATCCACATGATTGATTAAGTAAAGCCATTTTTAAAAATTAAAGGCAAACCTAACTTAAAACCAGAGCTTTGGTCAGCCTGACAGCCTGTGGTGACATCCCGCCTCGGCATAATCCTGGCCGGAAGGAAACACGACTGAGAGCCCTGGCAACTGTATCACGGGCACGCTCGGTATTCTACAGTAGCCCAAGGACTCTGACTGCTACCACGGGGTTCTGGCGGCGTGTGCTGTGGGGCCGGGGAGGGCAGGCCCCCCGGGGTTGCTGTCCAATAGCCACAGCTAGAATTGATCCACATGGCCTGGTTTGCCTGGGCTCCTCAGTTCCCTCCCCATCGCTGGTCTCCATAGGGCAGCTGGGCCCCTCTCACCTTTGTGCTCCTCTCTCCAGGTTTCCTTTTGGCGCTGACCCAGGGCCGAGAGATCCAGGCTCAGAACTCCTTCTCCAGCTTCACCCTGATGAAGCTGAGGCACTCCTCCGCCCTGGGCGGGGCTAGCCTGGGGGCCCGGCACATTGGGCACCTGCTCCCCATGGACTACAGCTCCAATGTTGTTGCCTTCTACTCCTACACCTTCTCCTAGGGGACCAGCCCCTGGCTATACTCCTCTATACCCAGTGGACACTGAGTGACCAAAAGGAAGAGTCTCTTGTCTTTTTTTAAAAAAAGAACACATAGAAGAAAATAAACGCACTTTACTTACTCCCCACTCGGATTGTTTATCAAGCATGCTTGCTGTGTACATTCCTGGTGCACCTGCCTCTGGTGTTCCAGAGGGCTTAGAAACTTTGGTTTTAGTTCAGAGTGAAAGCCCCACCTGAGGTGCTTGGATTGTTTACATCCACTCCACATTCTCCACGTGCCTCTGCCGTTCCGTACATAAAGCCACGTGGCTGCCCCTTACCCTGTGACTGCAGCGTTCCTGTCAGAGTGGGTAAGGACCCCTCACTGAGTAATGGGACTGAGTGCTCCTGCAGGACATCACTGCGAGTAATCCTAAGCACACTACGCCCTCTCCTGAGACACTCAGTAGGGCTTAGATGGGACGAGCCTGCGAGTTTCCCCTCACTGGTTGGTCATTGCAGGTGAGCCGCCCCCTTTGCAGTTGGCCGTGAATGAATTCCTGAGTGCTCAGAGGAGGGCTGCAAGCCAAGGAGGCCAGCTAGGCGCAGTTTTAACGACGCGGCCTACCTACCTGTGCCTGCTACTCACTGACTGGTTATAGCAGGACACTGTTAGTGTGGCGGGAATGGTGAAAATCAGTGACAGACATGGTTCCTGTCCTTTGGATGTGGTACTGTGTCAGTTAAGACCAAGGTGAAGGGGCTTCATGTTCTGTTGCTGGTGCTGCTTGGCGGTGACCGAAGGAGTCTTCGTCCACAGTGGCCATCTGTCTCTTCAGGTGTTTAGAGTGTGAGCTATTAGAAGGTGTGGATGATGTCCTAGACATCATTTCTCAAACTTTGGTGCCAGTTTAACTCTACAGTTGGATTTAAAAAAATTTTTTTGGGGGGGCCAGCAGGTGGTGTGGCGGTTAAGAGCGCTGGACTCCCACATGGCCGACCATGGTTCGAGTCCCGGATCAGGTGGCTTGCTTTCTCATTTTCCCTTTCTTTCTCTGTCCTCCTCTGGTCCAATTAAAATGAATGAATGAATTTAAATGAAATAATTCTTAAAAAAATTTTTTTTAAGATTTTTTTTTTTTTTTTGCCATGGGTGCATGCTTTTTCCAGAGAGACAGTGAGAGGGAGAGTGAGAAATCAGCCCCTGGGAGTGATTTTTCCACAATCCTTTCTCCATTCTCCTCCTGGGATTTTGGGCATGCATGCACATGTGCCTAGTGCAGTTTTCAAGCCACCAAGCCCAGAGCTTGAACCATGGTTGGCCATGTGAGAGTGCAGTTCCCCAGTTACAATGCCACCTGTTGGCTCTGGGTCTTACACCCTGCATAGACCATGCCTATGGTATCTCAATGACAGAAAAGGCAGTTCAGCTTTGATTTTTCTCCACCCTGGCTTTAGGAAGGAGGTAAAGAAATGACAGGGCTCAAAGCAAGACCCCAGTGCTCTGATCTGGTCCCAAGGTGGTTCTACCATATGACAGGACCCCTCAAGAAACCACTGGGAGATACAAGCTAGGCAGAAGTTGAAGTAGGAATTACCAAACTTCATCTGCACAACAGGAACTATGTTTGCTGTTAACTCAGTGGCCCGGGTGCCTAGGGCGATGCATGGTGTGTAGCAAGCTCTCAAGCTGTTCAGTTGTGGGCAGATGAGTACAGAATCCCTTCACCATGTTTCTAGGCAGAAGTCAGTTTTGCTCAGAAACAGGAAAATATCCAGTTTTCCTCCTAGCCCAAGGATTTGCTTTTACCACTTTTGTTCAAAGCTGTATGTTATTGCAAGTAGAGGCTACAGTGTATTAAGTGCCTGCTGTGTCAAGCTTATACAGTATTTTACAGTTCAATTCTAATTGTCATAATAGCTCCAGGGAAGGAGTTAGGGAGGGAAGTGTCATACATTTTCAGATAGGTCTGAGGCTCAGACCAGAGTCACAAAGACAAGGATGAAGGTGTCTGTGACTTTCAAAGCCTTTTACTGCTTTGCAGCCCTATTTGGAAAGAAAACTATGCAACTAAAACTCTCATCCATTTTAAAACAGACAACAATCTCTCTCACAGTACACCACACCTGATTTCTTTTCTTTTTTCTTTTTTTTGGAGAGGTTTTTGCTATAGGGCGCGTGCGCTCGTCAGACAGAGAGAAACAGAGAGACAGAAAGCGAGAAATCACCCCCCAGGGGGGATGGCCACGCCGCAATCCCTTCTCCTCCATTCTCCTCTCAGGATCTTGGGCACGCACGCACACACGCCTGGCATGAGTTTTAAGCCACCAGGTCTGGGACGTGAACCGCTGTCGACTACGTGGGAGTCCAGCAACATAGCCATTACGCTAACTGCTGGTCCCACCACACCTGCTTTCTGTAGTTAATGATGTTCAGTGATCCAACCTTAGGAAATAAAAGTAACAGTGTCAACAAATGCATTTTATTCTTATTTTATTGAGATTCTC